TGCTGCCCGACACGTCACTCGCCGCGTCGTTGTTGTTGTTGTTGTTGTTGCCGCTGAGCGAGGGGGAGGGGGACCTCTCCCTGATGGTGACGGGGGAGCCCTCCCGCACAGGACTACCCTCGCAGCTGCTGCTCGGCGTCTGCTGCCCAGGGGAGGGGGGCGGCGTGACCTGCGGGGGGGCCAGCGTGGAGGGGCCTCGCATGGCGGCCTGGTACGACGGGTTGCGCGCCACGCGGACGCCGCGCCGCGACCCGCACGGGAACCGATGCTCCTCGCCCAGGGTGGAGCCTCGCAGGTCTGGAGATCCAAACTCGATGCTGTCGCGGGCGTGGGCGAAGGGACGCGGGCGGCGCGTGGGCGGTTCCTCTGCGTCATCCTTGTCTGCGTAGGAGAGGGTTCGGCCCATCTGCAGCGACCCAATTTTCCTCCTGGTGAGGGCGCCGCTCACGTCCAGGTTGATCTTGGCCTCGACCACGCTCGTGTTGATGGCTTCCACCGCGTCCTCCATGACCTCATCCTCGTCCTCGTCGCACTCCATGTCCTCCAGGTCCTCCTGCAGGCAGGTGGGGACTCCCTCCTTCAGCAGAGCTCTCTTCCTGCTCTCCACGACCCGCTCATCGCGTACGACGAGCTCCTCCTTCACCACCTTCGTCGTCACCAGCACCTCGCCCTCCTTTCTGGCCTCGTACTCCTCCTCCTCCTCCTCCTCCCCATCAACCACCCCCGTCCCGCCGTTGGTGTAGGTCGTCCGGCACTCGACCTCGAAGTGCTGGTTATGGCACTCTTCGAAGCGGTCGCCGTCGTCGTAGTTGCCGTTCCTGCTGGCCCACGCCTCCTGCACGTCCTCGCACGACTCGAACACGGCCAGCTCGTCCGACGACTCCGCCACCATGCTCAGAATGGGGCCCGGCATGATTGATGCTGTTATCTTATTATTTTTTTTCCTCTAAATAGACTACTGAGTCGTGGCTACTTGTCTTGCTCTGTGGCACTTTGCAAACACTTATCACTCTTGTATTATTATTGTAATCCTTGTCGCGGGTTTGTATCACCGTAAAATCTTATAGCAGTTATGCTTCACAGTGTCTGAAGTCAACTGAGCGGATCTTATATTCGCATCGCGTTTTAAAGCCGCTTCGCAAACGCCTCCCAGTTCGTCGTATTGCTAATATTCACAGGAAAAGACTTCATTGAGGGCGTTCGCCGTGGTTCCCTTTTTGTCACCTGGCTAAAGGAAGGAAGTAAATAAGAGTTAAGACAAAGAGAAACGGGGAAGGAGACAATAGAAATAAGTTAATTCATTTTGAGAATCCTCCTGTCCATGGGCGGTTCTGTGAATGACGATGTATCGCAAGCCAAATGTGTGTGTGAGTGAGAGAGAGAGAGAGACGGGGGGGGGGGGGGGGAGGGAAGCTGTTGGTTGTTGCTATATTTTCTCACCTTCCCGACTTCCGTTTTCTTTGTATGTGCCACTTAATTCATTCCCAGAAAGCGGTCGAGGTTATAGCAACACAGCCGTCCCGTCACACACGCCATGGTGTCATTCCCCCTTTTCTTCTCCCTTCGCACGAAAACCCACACCCACACACGCACGGATCGAACGAACGCACGAAACACACGAAACAAACGGAAACTCACACGCGCGGGGGAAACAGCTATACTTAGTTCCGCGTCACTTTCCTTTTCTCTCTCTCTCTCTCTCCTTTCCCGAGCGGACATGAGAATCGGCGACGTAACAGAATGCACGTCAACGCACCTGCGCCCGAGTCAGCGCACCTGTGATCCTGTCTCTTGGCACGCGGGCGGCGGCGGTGTCTTGGCGCCGGCCGAACCTGACACGTCCTTTCTTGCCAGTTGATATCGTCTGTCACACGTGTTTCATGCGCGGGGGATAAAAAGGGGGAGGGAGAAGAATGAGACAGAGAGAGAGAGAGAGAGAGAGAGAGAGAGAGAGAGAGAGAGAGAGAGAGAGAGAGAGAGAGAGAGAGAGAGAGAGAGAGAGGGAGAGAGAGAGAGAGAGAGAGAGAGAGAGATGAGATAGATAGATAGATAGATAGATAGATAGATAGATAGATAAATAGAGAGAGAGAGAGAGAAAGAGAGAGAGCAAGGGTGGGTGGGGGGGGGGAAGAGACGGTGAGTCAAGGAGGAAGCAGATGATCCGATCTTGGCAAGGGAACAGAACAGCTGGATTAGACAGATAAACTTTGAAAGTTCTTGTAATTTAATGCTTATCTTTTCATCGTCTTTTCTCCTGTGTTATTCCACCATCCATCGCCCAAAGAGTAGTAAAAAATAATAATAATAATAAAACCAACATATACTCAAATAAAACATAATAATAACATAAAATAATCAAAAACTAAAGCAAGAGAGAGAGAAAAAAAAAACTAATAAAACTGAATCACGAAGACACACGATAGGTCACGCGGAGGAATACACGCGCCGGTCACACACACGCACTGTCAGAGGGAAGTCACTCCGCCCACACTCCCGCCTG